CATGTTTGCCTCACCCACCAACAAGTTGCCTTCAATCATTCAAAGGCGGGAAAGTTACAGAGATATATTATTATGTTGTTATATAAAACGTCGTGAAGGGCAGACAGTCTGCAGCCCCGTAATGAAGGGACCCCACTTGGGCAAAGCTACTTAGGTGTGAGTCAAAGCAAGACGCAGAGAGCGCCATTGAGAATATAGTCCCACCAAACAACCATCGCAGAGACGCAATGCTGCAGAACGCAACAAGCATCAATACGACTATCGTTGGGCTTACACCATCCCAAGGTCCCCCATACATCCCAGCAGACATCACCACCCGCATACCTCCATCAACCAGAACCACAAGAGAGCGTCGAATCAGGCACAGCACACCCGCAGATCCATCACAAGACGCAATACCGCAAGTAGCAGTAAACATCAATGCAACTATCGTTCGGATGGCGCCCCCTCACAACACAAGCACATGATCCCTATCGATTTTGGTAACAAAAAAATATCACCAACGTATCATAGTAGCACACTACTAAGACGCCCGTGAACAAAACTCCACGTATCATAGCGCTAATGCACTAAGACATGAAGTTCAGTATGCTGGTTACACTTAAAAGTGCTACCAAACACACTCATCCCAATCCGAAAGATAGACGACGCATCGCTATGCGCTACGACGCCGCCCACAAACGGTATGGGTGTGCGATGTCCACGGGAAAGCCGTATTGCTACAACAAACCCGCTTACCACCGGCACCAAGATGATATGTCTAGGACACATCGGTTAGCGAGCCCAAGTTTACCTCATACCAATTGCTCGTAAAGCAGCATACACGCCACCATAATATTCCTTTTCAAGTCCTTAATAAGGACTACATTTTTGCTACAGTACTAAGAGCAGTCGGTCACCCGACCACCCCATATAATGCTTATGCATCAAGGAGACCTTCTATAATAATGCTTTTGTATCATAGACCTTACTTTCATAAGTTTTTAATATGTGTCCTACATACCCACGATTCTACTATTGTAATGCAAATTCATCATAGAGACCTTCTATAGTATTGCTTTTGTATCATAGACCAAATTTTCATAAGTCATTATTATGTAGAACTTGAACCCACGACCCTACTATTGTAACGCAAATTCATCTTAGAGACCTTCTATAGTATTGTTTTTCTATCATAGACCTTACTTTCATAAGTCATTAATATGTAGGACTTCAACCCACGAACCCACTATTGTAATGCAAATTCATCATAGAGACCTTCTATAGTATTGCTTTTGTATCATTGAGTTTATTATCATAAGTCCCTAATACCGACCCCCGACCACCCCATATATATGTACAACTGCAGGTATGTATCTTCGGTAGCTCCTCCATACAAAACATCTATACATGAACACCTTCCATTACAGGAAAGTTTTCTTTTATATATGAACTCCTTCCACAACTTTGACAATTTTTAACAAATTTTCTAATTATCTTATAAACGTTATTTATCTTTATTTTTATAATATTTTTTACTTGTATTTCTATAGTTTATCATGTTTTAAATATTTTAGTTTTTAAATAAATTTATTTATAATTAAAGACAATATTTTGCATTTAATTTACTATGTTATTGGTCTAATGTCGGAAATATTAACTTTATGCTTATTAATGTAATTTTATTGCTTAATATATATTACAGGACAATATATATATATATATATATATATATATATATATATATATATATATGTATATATATATATATATATATATATATAATTAAAACTAAGACTGGGCCTTCACACTATGAAAAAAAACTTCGTTCATTCAATTATGTATTTATTTAAGCCTATCAAAAGTCCGCCGCTGAATATAAGCCTCGCCATAGATTGCCTCATATTTGCGATTGTTACCAAGTTTGTGAGGCGGTTTGGCAACAACAGTTTATCTTTACTATGATTTGTAATCATAAAGTTGCTGCTACCAATCTCTTTCACTTCTTACACCACCCACGAGAACATAATATAATTGATTGGTGTATCTATAACGATAACACGAGAATGAACTTATATTTTCTAAACTCTCTACAAAGTATTTTGCTTTTAACTGATTTCGACCAAAGAAATTTCCTTGCCAGTAGTTAACAGAAAGCTGAACTCCAATCATAAAATATCAGTGAAAAAGCAACTCCTGCGAGCTGACGTACTATGCTATGCGAAATATTTAAGTACTTAATTTTAGTTTTCATTTGTATACATACAATTAAAAAAATTACCAATACTGTTACTGTTATAGTTTATCAAAAGTACACTGCTCAACAGTCTCCCCATTGAATGTCTCATAGAGCTAATATTTACCATAGTTGGCAACCGCAGTTATTATTTTTATTTTTAGTTATTATTAGAAGACGCTGCTGCCCATCTCCTGGTTTGTTTCTCTCTGTTGCCGCTTACTACACCCGCGGGACGATGTAGGGTAGGATGTAATTATTTTAATAGTAGAATACTTACACTATCATACACGATACCAGTAAATTTATTTTAGTGATTACTACGTTAAATAGCCATATAGGACAAAATTATTTTTTTTACTTTGATTGTCATCCGTGTGTCTCTATTAAAATGTTATATTTTATAGTATGCCGAGTATAACGTCGTAACACGTATAGGTAATTGTTTACATATTTACCTTGGAATAATTTATAATAGTCGACACGTATGTTAGTAACGCAAAAAAAAAAAAAAAAATTAATTGGAAGTGAACAGGAAAGGGACGTCCAAGGCGAAAGTTTATCGACCAAATTGGCAATATATTGAAAATGGGCCAAATTAAGAGTACCTTTAACCGACGAGTATGTATGTGTAGGTATATAGATGTGCAGGAGCCTAGAGAGGAAGGTCAGGATCGTGCCAAATGGAAGTCTTTTAGTCTCTGCCTACCACTCTTTGTGACAGGCGTGAGTATTTATGTTATGTTATATTTTTATACTGCCGTATTCTTTCAAAATCATTGGTACACAATCAAGTCACCTCTTTGATTTTTTTAAAAGAATATTAACAATACTATAAACATTACTAATATTCCCCTTAACCACTCGTGGTAAGCTTAAATTGCTTGTGTTACAAGTGGTTCACGCCAGTAGTCGAATGGTGGATTCGAACCCACGACCTTTTGAGTTCGCGGTCCACGCCCTGCCATTAAGCTACTGTCGCTTAAATTAAACTTTGAAAATGCAACTTCCTTAGTACATATCAGTCTGGCTTTCGCCCGGGACACATTAAAACCACAGTGTTATTTCAAGTTATAGAAGACTTTAGAGAGGGCATATGATGAATTTGTGTTTAACTGTTCTTGTCTCTGTCTAAATATGTGTGTATTTTGAATTAAAATAAAATACATAGAGTAACTGACTTTTGTTTAGACTACAGGATAGAGAATTTCGTATAAATTCTATAACGCCAAACTTGCTGCACTGCATGAGAATTTTAAGAGGATTGAGGGGTTATAGAGGTTTTTACGTTGTCGAGGTTTCAGTTATCAAGATTCTACCATATATATATATATATATATATATATATATATATATATATATATATATATATATATATATATATATATATAATTGAATGTGTGGGTGTGTGCGTGTGTGTATTTTATGTGTGTTGCAAATTAAACTAACATCCAATTCACATTTTCTTAATCTCAACCAAGACAATAAACGTTACTAATAAATAAAACCTATCGTGCAACTTACCGGAAAGGTCAGAACAAAGTTTGCCGTACCAGCCAACAATTTTCTAAAATGTATGTGATTGCTACAACCATTGTTCGTGAAGAAATAGGTAAATCTCAAAACAAAATAACGAAGACACATAAAATTATTTCTTATTTAAATTTATTTTTAACCATTATTAACTTAGAGTTAAGGCAATCGTATAGTACGGTGTGTAGATAGATATGAAAACGTTACCTCACTCTCTGGTATTTTCTAGCAAAAATTATTAAGTGAGGAAAATTTTAACAAACAACATGCGGCCATCCTCCAAAATATTTCTGCTGGCACTGCAGCAGTCGGAAGCGCTTAAAATATTTAATTTTGTTAATTTTTATTACAATTTTATAAGCCATTTTTAATAATACAAATGAAAGATTCTATAACAATCATAGTAATATTTATAATCTTTTTATTGAACCTTTTAATATAATATATACACGCTTTTTTGCCTAATAGTTAAAAAAAAAGATAAAAAACAATAATGTATTGTTTTTGTGCAATAGTAACATTCTAGTATACCCACAGAGGTTAAAAAATTTTCAAAAAGTACTACAACGTTGCCTTAAAAGTATTTTCTTTAGATTTTTATATTTCTGTTTGAAACACCCGTCAAGTTTTAGCGACTTTTTTTCTTACCGTTATAGTTATAAATAAGTTTAATGGCCATTGTTTATTAATCCGTCACTGGTGACTAGACCTGAGTGATCTTGCCTTAATAATTCTTATATTAACACAATCAAACAGTTGAAAATATCAAATTAAAATATTATAAATAGGATATATATTCGTGACAATATGTTCTTAATCATTAAATATTTAAGCACAACTTACAGGCAGTAATAAATCATTACACAAAATATGTACAAATAAATTCTAATTGTTTTTAAACAAAAAAACAGTTATCATTAATACTCGGAAACAATCATTCTTAAAATATAGATAAGCACTATCGATAAATTTTATCGTCGTGTGGTGGCAAGCTAATAAAATACGGTGCAGGTGGAGAGTAATTGCACCTTATGAGGCAAAGTTGCTGTCGAAAGCGAAGCTGGGGGTAATGTTGCTGCATAACCTGGCCAAGCCGGGCCCCACAAAGGAGCTGCACCTGCACTTGCACTATTTGCTAATGGACCACCCCTGTACGACGTTGTAGTCCTTCTTAACCTGACAATGCATATTGCAACAATAAGAATTACTATAAATGCAACGACTCTTCCAACAATCCCTATAATTGATTAGACTATAGATTGTCATCGTTAGAAGAAGAAGCTATTACAGGAGCTCCTTTTGGTTCTCCAGGCGATTTTGCTCGCTCATGTGATGGAGCTACTGACCAAATTATGTCAGGTTCCACTGAAGTTCTCTGAACAAGACGTGGTGAATTTGTAGTTGTTAAACTGCTTGGAGAAGACGTTAGAGTTGTTCTTTTTCTCGTATCACACGTCAGTTCATCGTCACCAATTTCAACTGATAAAAATCCAGCCAAATAGTCAGGAGAATGACATTGTACATCTTCTACTCCTACGTTTGGTAACCATCTACGCAAGAGCGTTGCGTAATTACAGTCGCAACGTATAGGATTTGTATCTAAACCAAACATGGAAAGATCTGCTCTCCGGTCATCAAGTGCTACCAATAATTGTGGTTGCAACGTTGTTACCTGACTACCAGCCATATCTATTGTTATTTGAGATGATCTTGGCAACGGAAATAGTAGAGCTGGTTGCAGACTTGAAACTGATGTATTTCTAAATCTTACTATCATAAATGGAGAATTCAAAACAGCTATCACCCCCGAAGAAATTGTTTTTAATCTATCTCCACGTATTCCTAATTCTTCAAGTCGTGCATGTAATGCAAAGGCAAGCTGATCTGCCCCGATTTTTGTATCTTTTACTTCAACATCCAATTTTTCCAAAGCAAATAAGTGTTGTAATGTGCCTTGCATGTCAAAATATCCTACCCGTGGGTAGCCATACACACGAAGCTCAATAAGATTAGGAAAGACCTAAACGTATTCTTTTCAATTTTTGTGCATTTGTCTAGATACCGCATGTCCAAAATTCGTAGTGACGAGAGACCTTCAAAATTACCATCCACAAAAACCTTTATAGGATTATTAGAAATATTAAGTCTTTGTAAGTTTTAAAGCTTCGGCCAAGAAACTGCAAGTGATCTAGAAACATCTTCTATTTGATTGAAGGATAAATCTAAAGACTCCAATAAAGTAGTTCTGACAAAATTTTTTTTTCAGTTAATTTAGTTATATCGTTAAATGATAAATTCTATCTGTGCAAAAATGGAGTTTCTAGCTTTCCAACAAATTTTGTTCCAGTGGCAGCAAGGTTTAAATCCCTTACAGTCTTTGGTTCCGTTAAAACATTATTTATTGTTTTCTCAGACAGCGGATTAAATGATAAATCTAACTTCTTAATATTCACCATAACACTATTTCCTGCTGGTATATCTAAAATTTCGTTATGAGACAGATCAACGGACGATACAAAGAAATATTGCTTTTGAAATACCTTCAAAGGAGGATGTTCAAATAAGTTATTACTTAAAATTATCGTTTCTAGCATGTGCAAACGTGTTCTATCAAATATATTTTCAGGCAGCTCGTTTATCAGTTACCACTCAAATCTAATTTTTCTAATCTTATTAATCCTTCGAATAGTCTATCTCCTAGACGATCAATTTTATTGAAAGATAAATCCAAATGTTGTATTTGAGTTGAATTATGGAAAGCCATTTCGCTCACACCTTCGATTTCGTTTCGGGCTAACAAAACTGTTCTCAGTTTTGGTAGGCGAGCAAAATCCAATTCATTAACATTTTTCAAAGCATTACCAGATAAGTCTACCAATTCCAAATATTGCAGTGTACTAATTGATTCCGATGGGAAGAAATTAAACTTATTATTTGTCAATATAATTTCCCTTAATCGCGGATGTATTTTAAATGAAGAAGGAAATAAATATATATAATTAACTGATTATCAGAAATATCTATCACTTCTAAACTTGTACCCGTATTAAAGAATTCACCCTTAAATGCATTTAATTGATTACCTTTTAATGATAAACATTACGTTAACAACGGCCGGTGTTTTAATACTTACTATGTGATTATACGATAAGTCAAGTACTGTGAGATTTCTAAGATTCTTAAAAGTGTTCTCTTGTAAATGATTATTGGAAATATAAATTCGTTCTAAGCTAGGATTTACAATTGAAAAGCATTTACAGGTATTTCAGATATCTGATTATCAGAAATATCAAAGTACAAAAGATTATTTTAATTCTTCCCCTGTAAATCCTAAAATTTTATTTTGATTCAAAGACAAAAATTCTAATGTCATCTCTAAACCACCAAACACCTCAGCAGATATTGAATTTAAGAGATTTCCAGACAAATCTAAGTGACGTAAGGTCTTAAAATGCTCAAAAGCGGACGACGGGAGCTCTCTGATGACATTTCGAGAAAGAACCAAACTATCGATTCTATCGGAAACTGCTCTTAGGATATCACTGGAGAGAGCCGTTATTAAAGCCTAAATGTACTGAAATCAAATTAGGTAGGCTTGACAATGCAGTAGCGGGTATGAGAAGTATATTGTTATCACGTAGAAGTAGCGTCTGTAAGCACGTTAAACCGTCAAACGCATCATCTTCTACCTGCAAAAGATAAAATTACATGTAAAAGTAATCTAAATAATTATTTACTAACATATTGTTAAAGTATTGTAAGAAATATTCTTAACTTTTTTTCTTTTAAAACAGATTTATTAAATCTTCGATATGAGCACCAAACAACATATATTTTTATGAAAAAAACTCCAATTTGAATAACTTTATTTCGAGTAGACCAAAGATGCACTAAAATTTCTAAAAAAATAAATACTTACAGTTCGAAGAGAATTTACACCGACATCTGAATAAAGCAATTCAGTGAGTCCCATGAAGGTCCCCGATGACAGTTTAACAATGTTATTTCTACTTAAGTCCAGTACTTGTAACGAAACCAGCGAGCTTATATGGCTATTATTAATATGTATAATTGTCATCTATGCGTTCCTTTAAAGCGCTTCTACACGGTCGGGACCAACCACCAACCGTCGTGACCTTGGTCGGGTCAAGCGGTTTTTGTATTCGTTCTACACGGTTGGGTGGTTGACTCAACTTGTTTCTCAACAGTTTCTCCAGTATTTAAAGAGTAAAGACGTAAGGTGTACAACAAAAGAATCGGTTTAGCTTTAACGTTTTTATGCTTGAATGAAGATGAAAAAAAAAATGGATAAAATTGTGGCTGAAAGAGCGCATTACTTTAAACAAACATGACATGGTACTTTAAGACATGGTAAATCACAGTACAGTGATAAGAATTCGGTCAGGACCTCACGTTCTTTGCTTCCGTTCGTATCCATAGTGCCGTTAAACATCCGCCTGCGACGACTGCTAAGCGCGCACTAAGTAGACATGGGTAGTTCACGAACGATTGAAGGAAATGAACTACTTCATTTCGCAAAGTAAACTTATCATTCATTCAGTATCATTAAAAATGTGTCTCTACTTCATTTAGTTCAGCCTTTCTTTTCGCTCCACCTCCACCACTCACTCGCACATGCTCGTGATTCGTGCGTGTCACATCGGCGCCGGCCGGTCGGCTTCGGCTGGAGTTGGCCGACCGACGTGTAGTACCAAATAATAATAAAGTAGACCAAATAATATTATGCAACAGTGTAGTTAGTCTAAACATACTAATATGAGCTTTCTGTTTATACCAATAAAGTTTAATTTAGCGTACAAAAATGTACGTAAACTAAACAAATGCTTTAGGTAATGAATTATTATTTTCGTATTTTTTTAAGATCGTCGAAGGATCGGCAATATCGACATCTCTCTTTATGTAGCATTGCTATTGCAATCAAAACTGAGCTTTTTGCGGTGGAGATAAAGCGCAATAATTTAGAATTTGAATTTCTTACTCGCATAGTTCACAAGTTGAGTTCGAATTGAGGTCGAGGACAAACGGAAACGGAATGCACTAATAGTCTAATGCTGCACTTGTTGACTTGTGCGGTGCGTTACGTTTCTTGTAAGTAGCTATAGCTAGAATTGTGTTATCGTATTTATCCTCTATCAGTTTTATAAATATAATGATTAATTGAACTAAAAGTGACAATATAGATAGAAAGGAAAGTGCTGTGTGGTGGAACTATTTTACGGAAAAAGGACCCAAAAAGACGAATTCGTACTCTCACTGTTCTAGTACCTATATTTTTGTGTTAACGTATAAATTACATATCTACTTAAGTGAAGTGCATCATTCGTCGTAACTCACTCATCAATCGCACTTGCGAGCTCTATATCCTAGGGTTACGGACTCGTTTTGGTTTGCTGAACTAAATGAAGTACTGAACTAAATGAGTGGACTACTTCATAGAGCGAAAAGATATACTTCATTCATTTCTTTTCACTGACACATTTTGCGCATGTCTAGCACTAAGGCGCTCTCGTCGGCCGACAGCGTTCCACACGGTCGGCGTCAACTATGGACCCAACGTGTCGTGAGGGATGCGCTCGCAAGGCCGTTGGACTCTACCAAAATATATTGGTCAGACAACCGATGTCTACACTGTCCATTTTTACATCAACTCGACCAAGGTCACGACGGTTGGTGGTTGGTCCCGACCGTGTAGAAGGCCTATTACTGTTCAATTAAATACGATCAAAACTTAAATGAGTTTAAATGAGTTGTTACGTGCGCTCCCGCTATTGCTTCTGACAAAAAATATTTATTTCACCGTTAAAATGATATATTATAATAGTGCACGTACCATAAACCCTAACTAAGAACTATCGCCAATTAATCACAAACCCTATACAAAAAACCGTATCTACATCGATCAAAGCGTTTTCAAGATAAATGGGAACATTCGTTTGCACGCACAAACAACTTTACACTCTCGTATTATTATTTTTATATAATGGTCATAAAAGTCACTCACCGTAATCATATTACTGGAAAGATTTAGTTGCCGCAAAGCAGTAAAAGATTTCATGGCAACTGTAGGGAAATCTGTTATAAAGTTTTCCCAGAGATCTAACTTTTCCAAGTTTTCTATTCCCAAAAATACATCGCTTTTAAACTTGGATAGCATGTTACGACCGAGATCGTGGACTTGCAAATCCCTCAAACTTACAGAGCCCTGTGCAGTGCCTACCGAAGAGTTAACATAATAACTAATGGCATAACCCACTTTTACCAAAAAATGAGCATTCAAGTACGTAAAGCAGAGCTTCTGTTCTAAAGAGTACACTTGTGATTACAGTACAGTATTAGTAATCCTGTAGTATGTCTAATAGTAGTAGTAATCCTGTGCAGTGACTGACTTATGACAATAATCAAAATATCAAAAGATATCGCTGTGGTCAGTCACGAAAACATGAATTGCTCTGATTTTATTATTAAAACATTAAATTTCGCTAGTTTGTTTAATTTATTTGAAGTCCTTAAATATTTCAGGCTGAACTTACCTTAAGAACATCACAGCCAATAAGTAGACCCTCTTCTAAACCTTGACTACTGTTTCCACTAAGATCTAATTCTTCCAACGCTGGCAAATTGTGGAATTCCGTGGTTAAGAAGATTGGATTCAAATTATCCCCAAGTAAGTTGACCGCCAATACCAGTCTTGTGATGTTCCCTCTGACTCCAGAGAGTAGACGGTCGGGTAACCGTCTTAAACTATTATGTGATAAGTCAAGTTCTTTTAGTGGAAGACCATATGTTGGGAATATCTGAAAAGGATAAGCATACTTCACATCAATAATACTTTTTAGTAGTATTACAAATCAGAGATACATTATATCGGACTTCAAAATCTTCTTTCCATTAATTTAAATTGTATGCCATTTACGAACATAAACACTTACGGCCTTTAATTTTATTTTCGGAGTTGACAACACGTTTTTGGCAATCTTATTATAAGTGCATGTAACTACCTTATTGGACTAGTGGTCGTAAAAGTAACAGCTGATCATGAGGCGGGACCTCATGATCATCTGTTACTTTTTTCAAATCCCGGGTCTGGACAAAATCAGTTATCCCTATGTATACAACGCGTCTTTCACTCCTTGCCTCAGAAAGCACGTAAAGCCGTTGGTCATGTTGTGTCGGATTGCCGTTCCATCTGACTACGATAGTGACGGAATAGGGAGGGTACCTGTGCTTGCGCATACACTCTGGCACTATAACTCTGAAATCGATCTGGAGGACATTATTATTATTATTACTATCAGGTAGACTGTTAGATCTTTTGTTACACAAATATTGTAAAGATTATAAAACATGCGACATAAATGCGTCATCGCGCTTGTAGTATAAGCTATTCTGATAGAGATGTACTTATAGATTTTTATTGTTTTAAATAAGTAATTTATGTTTATTTGTAGATTAAGGTTTAGCTCATATTTAAAAAAATTATGTCGGTGGTTTGTGGTACACGGTAAAGTTTTTCATTAAGCTTATGTTGTACCATATTATATCCTCTTTATCATGTATAATATGTTAAATAAATAAATAAATAAATAAATTCTATCCTTCAACCCACGACCCTCAAATCTGCGCATTTCGCAAGTATCTTAAAAATATAAAATTATTAAAATTCTTCTTTGGTCTATGTATTTGAAAATAAAACAAGCCGAGTTGTATACGATCCTGCGGATGTCATAAATGTCATCTTGCTTACGTCAGACGTAAAATAACCAGACTGGTGACATACAGCAGCGATCAAAGTTAACTAGAATTTGTATCAAAGTCACTTTATAAACAGTGTTGGACATTTTACTTTATGATGCTTAAAATTCGGCAGCATCCCTGACACGGGAAGCGCCAAGCAGATTTGACTAAAAGCAGCTCCGGTTAATCCCACGGCTTAAGGGTTGTTTATTATCTTTGCAAAGTAAATACAGCACCTGAAATTATTTGAACCAAAACGAATAAACATTGGGAATTGCTGTATCAATAAGCTCTCTATCGACCGAGTTATTTTAAAAAAAAAACAACTAAGCTGCTTGTTGGCTTATACAAAAATACTAGTCAACATAAAGTCTCTATAATAACGGATGTAGTCTAAAAAGTCTATTAATTCTTTCTTTGTAAAACGATAAAAATTTTGTTGGCATTCTAATACAGAATTTCGTATACTGTACACTGACTTTCATTTACCCCATAACCATATTCCAACAGGTTATGGGCCCAGGTCACTTTGCTAAACAGTAATATTTAAAGTGTAATTCTTAATCAAATTACTATAAAATTATTTTCAAATAATATTAAACATGAATTTACGTAATAAAAGAAACATCCATCAGTTTAACAGTGAGCTATATAGTACGTGGAAATTTCACATAAGATCACTTTTAGAAGAACTACAAATATTAAACGTAATTGACGAGGATGTATTAACTACCCAAAATGAAGAGTGGAGTAAGAAAAATTTTATTGCAAAAGATACAGTTGTAGAATATTTAATTAATTTATTTTTGAATTTTGCAAGAGAAGAAAATTATTTAATGCAAAAATTTAAAATGACATCTAAATGAAATAAAAATGTTTCTAGGAATAGGAACTGAGAGAACTTAGCACACAATAACTTTAGATCAAACTATGTATCTTCAAAATGTTTTAAACAAATTCTGCATGAGCGAGTGTGACTATACTAAGTTACCTTTTCCATTCAAACTTAACTATTCGGACCGGAACTCTGATAACAATTATGCATCCATGCAGAAATGTTTTTGGGTGCCTAATATGCGATCCTTTGCACGAGAAATTTGTAAAGTTATAAGCATATTGAGTACCTACATATCAATGTAAAAATATTGAGGTTTTAAGGAAATATTTGAAACATCTATCTAATAATCTAATAAACCTTGTATTGACATTCTAATACAGAATTTCATACAGTATAAATCAACCAACACTCCTGAATCCAACTAGTCCAAGTTACATAAATTTAACTCATTAAACTCATTAAAATAAAAACTCATTAAATAAAAGTGTTAAAACATTTGAGGGATTTTTATTCAAAGGATTAAAATGAACTGGAAAATTGTTGGTAAATGACAGTACTAAGTATATATCAACCTTCCTAAAAAGTAAATGATGGAAAAAGTATTAAAATTTTGTATTTTACGGAATATTGCCATATCATCCTTAATTTTGAAATATAAACCTAAAATTTCTAACGTGACTGATACATATAAACCTTTTAAATTCAGAGACGTGTTTTAATAGTCGAAATGGTAGCGAGAACATCATTAGAATTCTTAATAATTATGTTAATAACGAAAGTCGAGTTAGTTCAAAGTATTATTGCCCAAGTAGATTGATTAGATTACTCGTGCTCTATGGTCAAAGAAAACATCGTGAGGATACCTAGACCGTTAAATATAAAAGTAAATCAAATAAAACGAGTCCGTTAACACGCAGTAGGGTAGTGCAATAAACTCTACTTGCCTAAAAAATACCATTCAGAAATTTTAAGATGACAGTACTTAGTAAAAAACAAAACATGTTGTTCCTTTACTTATCAATTAAAACAGAGTGTTCCTCAACTTAAATCTACGGCATGCATTCTAATAGGTTACGCGGAAACGATTCTAGTATTTTAATTTTATTCGAGGGTATATTGCCAAGCGTTTATCCTTCCTTTGACCTCAAGTCTCTTTTTTTTATAGAAGAGGGGGCAAACGAGCATGCGGCTCACCTGATGTTAAGTGACTACCGCCGCCCATGATCAACCGCAACACCAGAGGAATTGCAGGTGCGTTGCCGGCCCTTTGGAAAGGAGTACGTTCTTTTCTTGAAGGTCCCCAGGTCGTATCGGTCCGGAAAAATCGCTGGTAAACTATTCCACAGAGAGATTGTACGCGGAAGAAAACTCCTCTTGAAACGTACAGTGGTGGACCGCCAAGCATCCAGATGATGTGGGTGGTATCGCGACGTTTGCCGCGTAGTGCGTTCACGAAATTTGGCGGCTGGGATTAATCCGAACAATTCCTCAGAGCACTCTCCATGGTATATGCGAAAGAAAATGCAAAGAGATGCAACATCTCTTCGCAGTGCCAGTGAATCGAGCTGATCGGAAAACACTCGGTCGTCGATGATTCGAGCCGCTCTGCGCTGGATGCGGTCAAGTGGAACTAGCTGGTACTGGGGAGCCCCAGCTCAGAGATGGGAACAGTATTCCATGTGCGGCCGAACCTGCGCCTTGTAAAGTTGCAGGCGGTGTGCCGGCATGAAATACTGTCCCGCTCTACTGAGCACGCCAAGGTTTTTAGAGGCCAATTTGGCCTTCTCTTCCAAGTAACCACGAAACTTCACGTCACTCGATATGTCGACGCCGAGGATTCTGATACTGGCTGAGGCAACAAGGGGAGTGCCTTGAAACTGAGGAGATACGACAAAGGGGTTCTTTTTAGCGGTTAACGCGCAAACTTGTGTCTTCTGGGGGTTAAACTGGACTAGATTTAGTCGCCCCCAATACTAGACTCTGTTCAGCAAAGACTCGACTTCAGACACAAGTTTGTCCCGGCACTCGGAGACGTTTTCCCGAGAAATATTGGCTCGGCCGGTGTAAAGAGCATCACCAGTGCTATCATCTGCATAGCAATGAATGTTACGGGTTTGCAACATATCATTGATATGCAGAAGAAACAGCGTTGGCGATAGCACGCAGCCTTGTGGAACACCAGCATTAATAGACTTGCAATCGGAGCTTGCACCGTCTACAACGACCTTGGTGCTCCGATCTGCAAGAAAGCTGGTTATCCAATCGCACAATTTCTCGGGAAGCCCATAGGAAGGGAGCTTCGAAAGAAGCGCTTTGTGCCAAACCCGATCGAAGGCCTTCGCAATGTCCAAACTAACGGCCAATGCCTCCCATTTGGACTCTACTGCCTCCGCCCATCTGTGAGTTAGGTAGACCAGAAGATCACCAGCTGACCGACCACGGCGAAAACCGTATTGGCGGTCACAGCTGGTGATCCTCAAGGTACCTCATGAGCTGGCAGTTTAAAACAGACTCCATTGTTTTGGAGAACAAGGAGGTGATGGCGATAGGCCGGTAGTTGGACGGGTCTGAGCGGTCGCCTTTTTTAGGGATCGGGTGGACGAAAGCCGTCTTCCATGATTTTGGTAATTGAATACGCGCCGTATCAAATATCAAACATCAGCAGCGTTTAAAGAAAAAAAACTCAGCCCGCCGTTTTGTATACTGATAAAGGTATCAACTAAATTACTAAATAACATTGTGCGTGAGACGGGTCGAGCGCGTAATCAGCGCCTGATATCATCGCGCGTATTCAATTACCTTCCATACACACTGAAAGGGGGGAGGGAGGGGTCTAGCAGGTGACGCGATTCTTTCGACCAATGAGAAGCGCTCCCAACCGAGGTGCATTGGTGGGAAAGCCGAGGCAATATAAGGCAAGGCTCGACCGGGGAATCGAACTCGGGAAACCAAAGGCCCGCCGCCCAACCACTAATCAAAACATTTACGCTACAATTATTTTCCGTTTAATGTAGGTGTTTCAAGAAATACATATATAGTTAACAATACAAACATCGGCAGCGTTTAAAGAAAAAAAAAAATCCGCCGTTTTGTATACTGATAAAGGTATCAACTAAATTACTAAATAACATTGTGCGTGAGACGGGTCGAGCGCGTAATCAGCGCCTGATATCATCGCGCGTATTCAATTACCTAGTCATGTTAGTGATGATGATATTTATTAACAACTTTCTTTGCTTTTTTTTGTAAATGATACATAAATTTTTACTTTAACATTATAGACAGCTATAACCATGCTAAGGATCGTCAAAAACCATCCAGTAGTTTTTGGATCTTATTGCGTTCAAAGGGACAAAAAGAGAGATGGACAAAAAAATAATCGTTATAGCTTTAATATAAATAAAGAAGTATAAAAAAATAATTGAATTAATTTTAATTGTACAGAATAACAAGGAAATAGTTTTAATATAGTGTAGAAATATAAATTAAGTGGATATTTGTTAAGATTCAAAACCGATCCTATGTATCTTATAGATGGAAGTAAAAGTTGATAACCTGCTAAAATATTATTAGGAAAACGTCCTTGTAAAAACGGAGCGCGATATTGAGAACGCATGTTGAGCTTTCTGAACATTTTTACAAGAAAGTAATCAGGGCACCGTCTTCAGACATCTATACGCAATATTTATAATAGATCGAATTATATATTTATATAATATATATTTATCTAAATAGTTATTTATTTATGTAGATAAAAAGGTTAATGTGCTTATAATACTCATGAATTTAATTAAGTTTGGAAAGAGTCGACATTCGAAAATGTCAAAGATATATTTTGTTCTGACTTCTGACAGATAACGAAATAATTGCTTCGCATTTGCAGAATATTTACTGGCTGTTTATTAACCAGTGGCTATTTAAAAGCTGTAAATGGGGATGACGAAGATGCGGTTTTGGAACAGTTTTGTTATTTCTTGTGCTCGCCACCATTCACTTTATGTTAGATGGTACGGTACTTTTTATGGATTTTTTTATAGAATTAGGGTCACAAACGGTTACATAGTCCGCCTGATATTAAAAATGATTTGGCCTACATACATCTATTTCTCGATTAAGAATCAAATTATACATGCATTGTGACGTGTAAGAAATACGAAGACATACTTCGTTAATAGTAAAAAGAGTCTCATGTTTTCTACGCTCACCACGGCAGTAAAAGCAGCTATTTTACGCTAACATCTGTGGCAATGTGATCGTTTATCGATCAAGCTAACCCCGTCGTGATGCAATAAAAATAGTTGAAGTGAGGCTCTAACATGTCAATTACCTACTCTTAAGAAAGAAGTATTAAGCAAGCATTCGAGAAACTCTTAAGGTACTCTCCATAACAAGAGTCCCGGTAACAAGCGCCGTTTGACCAATTCACAAAGTGATTTCAAAGCTTAGGTGCTATGATTTTTTTAATGTAAAACTAACCTGTGTAGGTAATGATTGCTGCCCAGACCAACGTTGACTGAATGAAACAATAGGAGCACCGTATGGCAAAGGTGGATAATCACCAGCGAACACCACCCTGTCACAATTCATCAGGATACCAAATTGTAATGCTCGGTCAACTCGCACCTTGCAGCGGTAGGGGTATCGCAGATCGTCGTTTAGTTCGGAACATGGGACCCAATTCTGCTAACCCATGCTGTATGTCATCATAAGGAGCAAAAGCACCCTCTTCATTTTGTTCTGAAATTAAAAAAATATGTAATTTTAAAAAAAATATACGTAACAATAACATCTTCGTAAAATTGTTGTTTTAGCTTTTTCTGATTAAAAAATAAACAAATATCAATGAAATACCATAAACCTCAATTTTATAATCCTTTAATGTTTACCTTCCCTTAAAGTATCTTATATAGTATATTTAAAATAAAACAACAGCTGAATGAAATGACTTTAAAAAATAAATGTATTGCTTTTAATTATACCTTATTTAAAATCCTGCCGTTTCAAGTGCTTTAGACCACCCGTTGTCACTGCGGATCTGAATTGCTCAACACCCTTACGTCATCATTAACCCTGGCTACTTTTAGCTTATATTTTTTTGTTATAGTTTCATTTACGCAAATGAAACTTACGGTATATACGAAACGAGCTTACGGTATCTTTAAATATTATTTTAGTACTGTTGCAAACCATAATTAATGCCACTAGCGCCATCTGTCCATCTTTCCATCGCCAAAGTTCCATTCTAGAACTTTCCCACTAGCGCCATCTAGTATCGAGTGGCGGAACTGGGAGAGAACTTTCTACACTTAGTCGGTCGGGACCGGTATGTACTCGAGCATTCTGTATGTAGAAAAGGTTCAGTAGAAAAGGTCCTATATAAAGGCGTTAAGGACCGCGACCGAGTCAGTATTGAATTAGCAATTCAAGCGAAGAATTCGGGGCGATATACATTCGAACTAAAGTGTTAAATGTGATTAATTATTAGTGTATTTTAAATTTTAAGGTGTTCGGTAATTGTGTCCATCGGTAAAAGTGTCCATTTTGGTAATTGAATCGGTAGTTTTTGTTGATGGTGTCAGAAGTAGAATACAATCATGCCGATTTTACCTAAAGACGACACGGAGGGTGTCCGTACCGTAAGTCAACGCCAGCAGAAAATGAACCAGAGACGATTTAATGGTGCAACGCTGCAGATGTCGAAGGACCAGCTGCCGGCGACGGAGGCTGGCCCGTCAGCAGATCACCTGCAGCATCTGACTTAGGTGCACTGATAATGCTGCTGCAGGAGCAAGCTTGACCAGTGGAGGAACAAACTCGTCGGTTGGAACAGCATAAGGAAGAGCAGATGCTTCTCATGAAGGACCTTTATGCTACCTTCGGGAAAAAGATAAGGGAGGTGAAAGATAAGTTGCTCAACATAACAACCACCTGCCGGACGCTGAAACCCAAATCAACCAAGTGAACAACGTGATTGCTGACACGAAGAAAGCGTTGGACGACTTCAAACTTGGGGATGGAATTACAGCTCCCTTAGTAGCTACAACCCCGTCCCGTAGTACCTTCGCTACGTGGATTCAAAGTGCCGCCGTTTGACGGGACTACTTCATGCCTACAAAATCCAGTTCGAGGCTGTCATGAAGGCAAACGGCTGGAATAAAAGTTAAGCCATGACTGCTCTCACACTAGACCTGCGCGACCAGGCCTTAACTGTTCTGGAAGCTCTCGGTAAGGAAGTGACTTACGAGCAGTTCCTTGAGACATTGCAGGCTAGATATGGCGACGCTCACCTGGAACACGTCATTCGCTATAAGATCGCGTGTGCAAAGCAGCAATGAAAATCTGCAGCAGTAGACCCTCAAGGTGAAGAAACTGGTTCTAAATGCATACCAGTCTGTACCTGCGCTCATTGAAGGAAACCTGGTGGGTGCAGAAATTCATCTACAGCATATGCGACCTTGAAGTCAGAGCTGCTGTGAAGCTCGGGCACCACGATACAATTAAGGACGCCTTGGCACATGCACGGGGGTGAAAGTCGTGCGGCAGGATCATCGTTCCCATCTTGTCAGGGAGGTTGCAGCAGCTACAGTAAGCGACTGCAATCTGGGATAAAGCCCTAGGTGCGACGGCTGTGGGGAAAGGGGCCATCTTCGATCCAGTCGCCCTAAGCGAACTGGAAAAAGAGAAGTTGATCAATCTCGAGAGGATAGTGCAGTTTACAACACCGGAAACACGGCTTTGTGATCTAATATCGCAGCGGGAAATCTCATGGCAACGCAGATGCATTGTGAAGAAGACCTTGTCCACTGTCGTGACGATGTCGGGGATTGGTGTCGCAAATGTTTTTTTTTTTTTTTTTTGGAATTCGCCATTTGCGGAAAGTGAAAGTGGAAAAAAATATTTCATGGTCAGAAATCTTCGCCACTCCAAATCAAGAAGCTCCAACAGTTGCAGATAAACTACTTCATGGAGTCTTCTGTCGTGTTAGAGTACCTTTAGAGATTCACAGGGATCATGGAAGGAATTTTGAGTCTCAAATATTCCAGGAAACTTGCCGAGTTACGGTTACTCATAAGACAAGAACGACTTCTTACCACCCGCAATCTGATACAGTGGTAGAACGATTTAATCAAACATTGGAGAGGTACCTAGCAAAAGATATAGACAATCGGGGACGAGATTGGGACCAGCACACACAACCGTTTTTATTGTCATATCGCTGTTCACGAAAGCACATCAGTGACACCAGCTTTTGCAAACTTTGGAAGAGAATTACGGCTGCCTCCAATCTAATCACCGGAATACCACCTGATGCCCCACGCAGTATAACCGATTATGCAATTTACTTGCGGAAGAAAATGAATGACATTTATGAGCACTTCATACAATCGGGCCAGCAATGTCTGAAGAGATGAAATCCCGTTATGACCGCAAAATGAACAACAAAGGGTTCGACGAAGGTTCACTATTATGGTTGCACAATTCTGCAAAGGGAAATCTTCTGAGCTCCAAGCTAAATGGGATTAACTGTACTGGATTGTGACAAGGATCAATGACGTAACCTACCGGATACAGAAAGGTGCAAGTTGTACTACTAAGATCGTCCATATTCCATGATCGACTGGCGCGTTATTATGGGGCCGATTCGGGACGAAAATGTCTTAGAAGGGGGCTGTATTGCGCGCCATAATTAATGCCACTAGCGCCATCTACTATCGAGTAGTAGAACTAGGAGATCTTTCTAGAAAGTTCCGTGCTAGAACTTTTTCACTAGCGCCATCTCGTATCGAGAGGCGGAAATGGGAGAGAACTTTCTACATCTAGTCGATCTGGACCTGTATGTGCTCGAGCATTCTGGATGTTTCAGTGGAAAAGGTATAAAGGCGTTAAGGACCGCGACCGTGTCAGTATTGAATTGACGATACAAGAAAAACGTTAAGTGTGATTAATTATTAGTAATGTTTAAGTTTTAAGGTGTTCAGTAATAAAAGTATCAATTTTGGTAATTCAATCGGCAGTTTTTGTTGTCACGAAACCTAAGCTCGTAACAGTATGCTTTGGTTGGATTTTAATTTTAATAATATTAGATCCCAAGTAAATGACAGCACCCAGCCATTGTCTTTATTTTAATTTAAAAGCATACTCGTAAATCAACATTTTATATGAAAGGTGCACTTTCTACTCCATCATTCTCATAGTCCGATGGATACGCAATCGACACAACTGACGAGGGGTCAGGCACAGAGCTTTACGTGGATTCCGAGGCAAGGCGGTGAAACATTATAAAATCACTTACTTCAGGCATTTACTTAAACTTTTTCGACTCAAAAAATTAAATAATATGATTTTGATCAGGCCCGGGAATTTCGTAGTCTTCGCGTAAATATAAGAAAATTTTGTTATTTAATATATTGCGATTTTTTACTGATTCTAAATGAATTTAACCGAAATGTAATGTTTTGTGACTAAAAAAATTGCTTGTTGCATTCACATAAATATTTGCTACTTTATAGAAATAATGCTATGTTTTTATAAGGTATGGAAATCGAAATTTGGAAAATTTGTATTATTTAAATAGAAATGATAATACCTACATTCATTAAAATTCAATGAAAACTTACCTACTGTAAGTTAAATGTACTATGCCTGTTTGTCAACATATTGCTGGAGCTTGCGCGTTTTACTGCTATCTGATAAACAGAGTGCAGCGCATAATATACGAAAAAACAAGTATAAATTTTATTTATTATATATTTATAAGATATTAGCTATTACTCGGCGCGTTGCATTTAGAAGAATTATATTGTTTTAGTAGAAATAAAATCATTGAAATTAAATATATTATAATATATGATTTTCAAATAAGTTTGTCGCTATGATATGCGCGCCACCTACTGTAAGTTAATTTTACTGTGCCTATATTACATTAACCGACTGCCTCGTTGGTCTAGTGGTTGTAGTAGTGCGACTGCTGATCATGAGGTCCTGGGTTCAAATTCCGGGTCGGGCCAAAAAATTAATTATTGAGTTTTTCCGTCAAGAAATTCTCAGTAGTTGCCCGGAGTCAAGAAGGTAGCGGTGTCTCACCCCCGTGCCTCGGAAAGCACGTAAAGCCTCTCTCCGGTCGGTCTCCGTCCCATCGGATAATGAGAATGAGGGAATAGAGAGTGCACCTGTGCTTGCGCTTACACTTGGGCACTATAATCCTGTCCTGCGCCGATGGCTGGCCTCCGTTGAGGCAGGCCGCCGTGGCCGAAGTTCGGTCTGGAGGACATTATTATTACTATTATATATTATTATATTAACGTTCGAGCGAGTGCCAGCAATAAGTTGACAAAGTTTCACCGCAATCTGATGGACGGCATGGCAACGCATAAAATACGAACAAACAACCATTGACTTCTATATATTAGAAATTTAGATATGTGCAAAATATAATACGTTTTGACAACATCGTTCAGAGTATCTGAATAATGCGACCGCTGGTCGATTCACGGTAAATTTTATCGAAGCCCAAAAAAATTTCAAAAACTCAATGCCAGTTATAAATATATTGTAAATTTTGCCTAGACGATCAATGATGCCAGACC